TGAGAGAATGCCCAAACCTTTATATTGACTCAAATACTTTCTTATCGTTTATATCACGGGAAAGCATATCTGTTGAGCAGATAAGAGACCTATGTGACTACATTTCAAAAGAATAAAGACTGAACGGAAAAAATGAAAAACATAGATTTCGATGACGATCGTCTCTGTATGTGTTTTATTTATACTACTTGTACAAAAACTCTTAACTACCTGACTAGATCTAATTTAATAAACAAGGGGGCCAGAATTTTCGTTTCTGAAACTGGATCGACTCATTAGTGAAGGCTTACCAATTGAAGTAACATTTACTTTCACTTAAAAGTAGTTCGTAACAGTATAATAGTTATACTCAGTTATTCATTCATTTAAACACTATGTGACATATTTAGTTCAATGTTGTCCTCTTTACTAATAAAATCCTTCTAAACAGCATTTTCACTTCCGTTCTCCGAGCACTTACACATTCCGACACAGATTGGAACAGAAAAATACAGAAAAACACATCAAGGACTTTGGTAATTCCTGATGAGAAGCTTCAAATGATAGTGACTGATTCATTGTGAGTACAATCCGCATGCTCGCATAATCCATAAAAAAGAAATTTTGAAGCGCTTGTAGCATAACAAGATGTTATATGTATACTTCCGTACTTTTATCTTCTTTAAAGGAAATGATGTTGTTATCATGTCATACCATGCCAAAGCCTAAAATACTTTTAACGTTTCTGAAATAAAACTTGAAAAGAGAAAGTAATCTTTCTATTCGTTCTTTGAATGTTCAGTGAAAAACTATTTTCTACCTGCACGTACTTTGGCAGTCTATCTTCAAAACATACCAGGCCATATAACATGGTTTTGCTCTGCTATATGACAACACATGACGTTAAATTATGAATCGTTTGAATAGAGTGTAGTCTTATTTCATTTTCCACACCATTCATGATGTGTTCATCGAATGTCTTGTAGATTGTGCTTTGTACTGCGAGCAAGAATTGATCTTTTCAATTTTGAACTTATCATGCAGAAGATGAAGAATCTTTTCACTGGTTTCACTGTATGAAACTTTTTTTGTGTTTGTATTATCGCGGGGAACAGATTGGGAGAAATTTGGAACGTCAACTACTTTTTCACACGCGATCGCCTTCTGCACGACAAGCCTTATAATGACAGTCGATAGCAAATCATCAGAACTCCATTTTCGAAGCGTGTCAATTCCAATTCAACGGAGGGATTTCATAAGTAAAAGACCATTCTAGCGCACCGTATCGCCTATCCTCATCTTTCTACATTTTAGGTAATTTTAAGGCAAATATTTTGACAAAAAATAGATTTAAAAAATGATTTTTACAAGAGACCTGGGGCTTTTGACCAATCTAGATTGTATGAATATCGTAGAAAAGCTAAGAATTGAGAATTTCCACTGAGAATTAGATATTCATCACTGTGGATATATTGTCGACTAATGCTCAAATCATTAGTATACTGTAATTTCGAGAATGTTAATCTCTCTCTTCTGAAGGATAAAGTCCATGAGCCAATTTCTCAAAGGAATCTGGAAAAATAACTCTTTTGAAATGTAGCAATTTTGCTTTCGTTATTTCTGTTATCAAATACTTCATATGTAGCATTGTTTTCTTGGGATAATAGTTATTGAGAGCAATAGGCTCATGCAAATGCCATTCATATCTCGTCAATGAGAGTTAGAATATTCCAAATGGTAACGGATAATCTACTTGGAAACTTGGAACTAAATATGGAAAAAAAAATCAGGTTCACGGCAAAACCGAAATCTCTACATTTGCTTGATGCGTTCGCATGCTGCCAATTTTGCCATAAGTTCTGAATTATTTCAAATTTTTGATAACGGTTCACTCAATGCAGGGACCTCCTAGTGATACTGATTGAGTATTCTTGTTTGAGGTACGAAAATCGTTAGAAATAAAACATTTCATTGAATTAACATCAGTTCTAAATTATATACGGCTTTTCACCTATTATTGCTTTCAACACCATCTTCCATAAGTGCAACACATTTTTTTATCAGAGCGCTCTTGCTCTGAAAAAATACTAATCTTACATCGTCATTTTGACTTTCCTTACCGCCAGCTTCAATTCCGGTCGCTCTGCTTGCATGAAGTTGTAAATAGAATCAATCATTGGCACTACTACAAAAGTAGCGTGTGGTAAGAAATAATGATAGGATTCCTCTAACTGAACATGGAGGTGTTGAGATATTTTTATACTTTTCACACATTTACCTGTTCAAGTGTGTATGGTAATTCCTCCACTTCCTCGCGGAGGTAACTATAGAAGGTGCTCAACAACTCTTTGTGATGATTTCTACGATCGTCTGCACTCAAACAAGTGGTGAACGTTCGAGCAAGATCAAGAGCGGAGGAATTGAAACTCGCGGTCTTGAGATGTATCATATAGGGAGTCTGATTATTTCTGATACCTGGAAATCAATGTGCGCTCTTATTTCATAATTTTCATTTGGTTTCGTCCATAAAATGTTAGTACTCCAAAGATCTCCATGAGTGAAGACTTTTTTATATCCGAGTTTATCTGGTAGAGCATCAAGCTTTATGTAGCTCTCTTTAGAACTGCGCTCAATCATAAGATCATGATATTGATTGATTAGTTTGCTGTGCTCTTCACCACAAAACGATTGTAGTTTGTCATTGAATTGCTCCATCATCTTGAAAATAAGATTGAAATTTGGAAAGTGTGTGCGACGATGATACTTGTGGCGTGAACAGGTCACCAAAATTATCTGATAAAAAGGTTGTAGAGTAGATGCTCTTCTCTTCCTCTGTCATTTTCATTCCTATTCCCTGCCAAATAGCTATTGACCGCAAAACCT